GGCAGGCCATTCTCCCTCCTGAATCCTGTTGCCTGAGACAGATGGGAGGCAGCAGGAGCTGGACTGCCCTTGGTCTCTGACAGCTTCCCGAAACAGCAGCATGCCCGGAGCTGCCTACCTCCGGATTTGTAACACGAAAGAAGAAATCTCACTGTTAAGCCATGGCTACATTTTTATTTGAAACAGCTGAATCTGACACTAATTGGTACAGTTCCTTTCAAAAACCTCTGTCCGCGGGAAGACGCCAGATGCTGTCATTGCTCTGGAAGAGCAAAGATTCAGGGGAGATGGTGACCATAACGGAAGCTTTTAAGGCTCTGTTCTTTCTCTCGGCTCTGTCCCTCGCACTGACAGTGAATCGCTTCCTCTTCACTTGGCTTCTGAGACACCAGGTTTTGGGGTTTTTCTCCCCACCTCTCTTTCAGTCGTTGCCAGTCTCCTTCACTGGATCCTCTCCTTCTTAACAGCCTAAGAGCCAGAGGCCCCCCATCCCAGGACTCTGTTCTCTGACATCCACTCTAAATACTCTCCTCTGGTCCAGGGCTTTCCATGCCCACTCTCCTCTACGCCCGAATTTGTATCTCCAGCTTCCTCTATTCACTAGAGACCTGAATCACACCAAAAGGCCTCTCTTCACGTCTCCGGTTGAAATCTAACAGGCATCTCAATCATCATGTCCCTAACGGACAATTTTTATTTCCCCCACACACCCACTGTTTCCGTTTTCTAGTACCAATAAATCGCGACATGATTCATCTGGTTGCTTGGGCCAGAAACCCAGCAGCCATTCAATCACTGCTTACAAGCAGCCTCCTTCCCCTCCCTGCCCAGCCCAGGAAGTTCTCTCGGCTCTCTTTTCAGAATGTATTTTTCCTGAGTCACTTCCCCCGGCCTCCACCACTGCGGTTCCAGTCCAAGATCACGAGTTGCCAAATTAGGTGCATACACCCAAGCAAGTCCCTAAGATGGCCAATTAGGTGCAAAAAAAAAAAAAGTAGCGCCTCTATATTTACTATTTATACCATTCTTGAAACATATTTTGATTTTGCATGTTTTAAAATGGTACAAGTTATATTCATTCACTTGGTAGTATATTACGGTAGAATCGTCTGTCATTTCACACTGCCCAATCTCTCCTTTTTCTTGGGTAAGAGAATTCCTGTGTCTTCACTGGGCACGTGACCAGCCAGCTAACAACGGCAGTTCCCCAGACTCCCTCAGCTGGTGTGGCCATGAACTCAGGGTGCCAAGGGGGTGTGACTAGAAGTGATGCATACCACGCTGGGTTGATCTCTAAATGGAATGTGCTCTACCCCCCTTTTTCTCCCCTCCCACTTGCTATGAAGCAAGTAGAGGTGGGGACCCTTGTCTGCTCGACCCTACAGAGCGCAATTTTTAAGTCATAAATACTTCAGTCTACATTTCCAAAAGATAGGGAGTGTTTGTAACACATAATCATGCCTTTATCATCTAAAAAACTAATTGTTTAATATACTCAAATATTTAGTCAATGTTTCAATTTCTCCTATTTTTTTGTTTGAATCAAGATCAAATAAGGTCTATACAGTGCAATGAATGAATGGTTCTTCAATCTCTTTAATCTCTAATTTTTCCTATCACCTCTCTCCCCCCAACTCCCATATAATTTATTGATGAAGAAACTTGATCCCTGGTTCTGCAAAAGTCCCCACAATTTGCACTATTGTTTAACATGGTGTGGTTTACGCAGGCTGATTCCTGCGAGTCAGTCCACATTCTTTATTTGATTTATTTTGAGATATACAGAATCAAGATGGTATCATTGGAAAACACTCCAGAATTCAAAGACCTACATTTTAATTCTTTCTCCATTACTGAGGTGACTGTGGTGAAGTCACCCCACCTGTAGAACCTGTCTCCTCACCTTAAAAATTAAATAACAGCTCCTGTCCGGCCAGTCTAGTCTGGAATGGTGGTAGTAAGGAGCAAATGAAACAGTATTTGGAAGGGTTTGCTATATAGTAGCAGGCTGTGAGTTACTATAATTCTCTGGTAAAGCATCAGTAAATCTGCATCAAAAATGAACACTTGAGCCCTGACTGGTGTGGCTCAGTGGATTAGGCATCTTCCCACGAACTGCAAGATTGCTGGTTTGATTCCTGGTCAGGGCGCATACCTGGGGCATGTGAGAGGCAACTGATGGATGTTTTTTCTCACACATTAACATTTCTCTCCCTCTTTCCCCTCCCTTCTCCTGTCTCTAAAAATGAATTAAATCTTTTTTTAAAAACTTACACTTAAATTTAAAAAAATGAGCAAGTAAGCTCCAATATTCACATGTTTACCTTTATGGATTCATATCCGTTATGATGTATGCAATTCCACAGAAAAGTATTCAAAATCATCAGGGAGGGTAAAAAGAAACCTTGGACTTTAAATTGCTTAAAGGAACCATTCAGATCATTAAGTTCAGGCGCAGCTTTGCAGAAAAGAAAACATTTGCTTACTGAATACCAAAACAGAGGACCCCCTCCTCTGTACATGTGTATTTCGTATGTCAACACACTCTCCAGGATTTAAAGGACCGAAGAACTATCTAGCAATGGGTCTCCAATTTTCAAAATCTACAATGTAATGTGAACAATCTGTTTGGGGGAAAACTTAAAAAGATGAATCACAATTATTTAATAACAAAAAGGGTTGGTTTTCTAATTCATCACTCTTATTGCCTATCAGTGAAAGGAATATCATGGTGACAATCTTTTCTTCAAGGTATCTTCAGGGAAGAGCATTCTATGTAAGCATTCAATTCTTTTTTAAATTATATTTTATTGATATGCTCATTCAATTGACCTGACTTTTTCCCCTTTGCCCCCCTCCACCCAGCAGCCCCCACTCCCTCAGGCGATCCCCCCACCATTGTTCATGTCCATGGGTCATGCGTATAAGTTCTTTGGCTACTTCATTTCCTATACTGCACTTTACATCCCCATGGCTATTCTGTAACTGCCTATTTGTACATCTTAATCTCCTCACCACTTTGCCCATTTGTCCACAACCCCCCCATCTGGCAACCTTCTAGTAACTAACTTCTTTCCTCTTGCTTTTAAGACTCTCTCTTTATCTTTAACCTTTGGCCTTTTAATAATGATGTGTCTTGGAGTGGGCCTCTTTGCATCCATCATTTTGGGGACTCTGTGTATAAGCACTCAATTCTAATGGCAAATGTTAAATGAAAACCATGCAAGGACAGGATGCTTGAAAATCTCTTAAAATATCCCATATAATTCTTGTTCAGAGGATCTTATTCACAAATTATTTCCTTCAAGTACTTTGCCACCTGGAACACTGGGAGCTTCTGAAACTTTCCACTTGCTCACTCAATCTGCACACCAGGGGCTCTTGCTCACTCATTCTGCACACCAGGGGCTCTTGCACCTGCAGCCACTGCACGCAGGCCCAAAGCTCACAGGTGTTGTTCTGTTGCCACTCCCACTACAGCAGCTACCTGCTGGCACGCTCACTGCTCTCTGCGTTCCCACACACTGAGACTGGGGAAGGAAGCCCCACCCAAGAGGCGGGGTTACTACAGCAACATTGCTCCAAACAGAACAAAGGTCATTCCCTGTGCAGCTGGTTTTTAAATCTCCGCAAAGTGTGATTTGTGCAAACAATGCCACTTGGAGTGACACCTCTGTGGGGCTGGTCATTTCTCTGTCTTTAGGAACCAAATCTATGGGTCACAAATTGGAACTCACTGTATTTTTTCTGCAAATACTTGTTTTACCTGAGAAACCACATTGTGTTGTTTGAAAATGAAATCCAAATGTTAACTGCTTCATGTCACTATCTGAAGTTTCAGAAAGTGTGATGCACTGGACACAGAACAGCTCACTCGTCAAGTAAAATTCAAGTTTTTTAATATTCATTATACTTACTAGTTGACTTTCTATATTTCAGTGGCTTGTTCAGAAAAAAAAACAATCATCCACAGAATCACCTTATCCCAGCCCAAAGAAACTCATAGTGTCTGTTTGCCCTGGGAATCCTGCTTGCTATATACAATTAGGATATTCTGAATTATAATCAATGCTGTAATTCATCTCATTTTTTACGTTTTAAAGAACCACTTCAAATCGCTGATACTTTTGTTCGTAAACCAAAGATAGAACATAAGACTAAAAATTGCCAATTATAAATGTACTTAACACTTAAACAATATAAAGAGACCATAGGTGAGGCAGCTTGTCACAAGCTCACAAGCTAACACAGCTGAGTGTTAGCCTAGACCAGCGATTTTCCGCGTTTTTTCCCCTCAGGGCACACATAGACTGCAATGACTGAAATTCTGTGGCACATCAAAAAATACATTTTTTTGTCGATCTGAGAAGAAAATAGGCATAACTTTTATTCATTCACACTGGATGGCTATTGTGTTGGCTGTTACTATCTTTTCATTTGACAATCTAAGGGAAAAAGGCCAGGGCCCCTGACTAAATATTCAGGCACTGAGTGTTTCACACTGGATGACAATCACTGGCCCAGACAGGTAGGTATATGAGGTGCATCAAACACATAATCTTGCAGCACAGGTATGAACATAACTGTTAGTAAGGAGGCTATGAAGCAGTATTGGAAGTAGTTAAGAACAGGAACTCTGGAGCCAGGTGGCCTGATTCCAAAACCAGACTCGGCTACTTACTAGCTGTTGACCTTGGGCAGGCAACTCAGCCTCCCTGTGTCTTGCTTTCTCCCCATAAAATAAGAATAATTACTAGTATCCAACTCACTGGGCTGTGTGAGAATCAACACCTGCATTAGAATGGGTTTTGCCCCCACAAGGGCTAAACATGTTAGCTTTCTATCTCTAACGGGTTGTCTATAAAAATTACTTATTTTACATTTCAAGCTTGTGAAATGTAGCCACTACACCTGCGCAGGAAAACCCCAAACCACCTCTGGCTCATAAACCCCACTGGTACTTAGCATCACCGGCACGGAACACTTATCTGTTCACTTACCATGTGGAATACAGCTGGACAAATCTACTGAGGACGTCCTGTTAGACTCTGGATTTGCGACAACACACTTTAACTGTCCTTTCTGCTTTTGGAGGTCATCATTCTTCTTCAAATGCAATACAGGTGTCGTGCTTTCTCCACACTGTGGTAAGGGGCAATGCCACGAGTAGGTTAATTGCTCCCGATGCCTGCTGTAATTTTCCGGGACTGCACACTGGACCACAATGCTTTCATTAACCGGGTTACATTCTAACGTCGGAAATGGAAGAGGGTCTGCGGGGGGAAAATGGCAAATTTAGTACAAAACAGAGTAACAATTAGATTCTTCATCTTTAAATTTATGAAGAGTTCCCCACTTTCTTGTGAATTTGAAGGGACGCACAGGCCACTCCCTTGAACACCAACAGGAGAGAAGTCTCTCTTCCCCGAGTCTGATCTTCCTGCTCTGATTCAGGACACACGCAGGCCCCAGATTCCTCACTCTTGCTTCTGAAAGCCCGAAGATCTCACACAGAAGGGCAGCAAAATCATTTAGCTGCCCACCTGCACCCGGATTGACATGAGGATTTATAGTTTTTATTTTTCTCACTTACTTTAAATATTTATTATCGTGTTTTACTAAATAGTTTTAGTAAACTATTTAGTTGCACATGCTTGGGTACAAGGTGCTCCCTATTAACTAAGTGGGGTGCTTCTCAACACACAGAGAAGAACTAGCTTATATTATTACCTTTCTAACATCTGAAAAGCATCTAATTCCAAAAGCTGCCTGATTCAAAGGGTTTTTGCAAAGAGTAGGGTGGGCTGGCCCTGCGGAGAGGTGAGGGAGGCGTGGCACCCGCCAGAGCCCTGCGAGCCCAGAGGCCTCCCCCCACGACTCCTCCAGGAGGCGACCCCGCTGGCCGAGGCCCCTGCACCCACAGGCTGCAGGTTCAGACCCAAGTCACACTGCACGGTCGTTGCCCCCTAAAACCTTAATGCTGATCTGTCCCGCTAGTTGTACATTTAATTCACATGCCTTCTTGCATCTCTCCTCACTCACCCCCTAACATTAATCATATGAGATCTGAGAAAACATGTACACATATATGGAATACGCAAAACAAGAGTCAAGGGACCATTTGGATAATAAAATCCCAATACTTTATGAACACCTCCTACAAAGCAAATTACAGCAGAGCTCGCCAAGATGGTGGAATGATACGCTGCCACTTAAAATACTATTTTCAAATAGGAAGGAACACATACGCTCCAAAATATAATCTAAAAATGGAAGGGTCCGACTCATCTTTCCTCTCCTACTCTCCCCCTAAATTCTTTCTCACTCAGACACTCGGCCTGCCTTGTTAGAGTCCCACAGGACTCCCCTTTCTGCCTGGGGCACCCTCGGTTTTTGGGTTTGAACTGGTTCACATAACTTGTTCTGCTGCCACCAAGTTTTTCTTTAAAAGAAATTTTAATATTTTAAAGAATTTATTTATTTATTGTTAGAGAGAGAAGGGAAGAAGAAAGAGGGAGAGAAACATCATTGTGTGGTTGCCTCTCCCACACCCCCTACTGGAGACCTGGCGGGCAACCCAAGCATGTGCCCTGACTGGGAATCGAACGGGTGACCCTTTGGTTCATGGGCCCACGCTCAGTCCAGTGAGCCAAACCAGCCAGGGCAGAAATTTTCATCTTTCTTAAGTACTGGAAACCTTTCTCCAAACTCAATCTTAAGCAGCTGACCATTACCCTTCAAAAGTGTAAGGAGTTGCTCTAGGCTTAAAAGTAGGGCGCCCACAGTGCTCGGCCCCCAGGCTCCTGAGGTCCGTCTCGCCCACCGCACCCCGCCGCAGCTGCTGAGGCCCCTCCAGCTAAGAAACGGATGTGCGTGACTGTTGCAGGCCCCCCACGTGCTTACGCCTGACTCCGCCCCGAGGCTGGGCATTGTTTGGGGGCAGGAAACCGAGCTCCCCCTTCCTTAGACATATTCTGTAGACGTGTTCTGTAGATGCATTTCTCCAATGCCAGCGGGCATAAGAATCACCCGAGGTGTGTGTTAAAAACCCAAATCCCTGGGCCCCACCATCCCTGGCCATTCTGATGTGGGCGGCCCCTGTGCTCCATCACAGACTCTGGTTTTTCAGTCCAGCAAGGCCGTGTCTAGTCTTTCCCCACTTTCCAAAGTGAACAGAGGTGCCTGGGCGCCCCTCAGACTGGGAGCCTTTGGAGGGTGAAGACTAGGTAATAGTCACCTCTTAACCACAGCACTTGAGAGAATATGAGTCACATAGTTGGGTCCTAGATAATGTGGAGGACGATGTTGAACGCTTGGAGGGACAGATAAAGTCAGAGAGACGGTGTTCCAATTACTCTCTTCACTCTATACAGTGTCAGGTCAGTCGCTCATCTCCCACAAGCACGGTACGGTGGCTGTGAGCACGCACTGCCTGCCTTGGGTTCACGTCCCACTCTACTGCTAGGAGCCACTTGACCCCGGGCAAGTCACTTAATCTCTGTGCCTAGCGTTCCTGTCCCACACATTAAGAAAACAAACCATATCTATCCTATGCAACTGTGATGAGGATGAAATGAGTTGACGATCATAATAATGGAGCTCAAGGTCAGCACACGGAAGCGCCTCCCGAGGGCGCGTGGTTCAGTGAGCAGTCGCTGACCGGGAGTTAGGAGGCGTGAGTGTTGGCCCTGGCTGGCTGTGTGACCTCAGACTGTAGCTCTTGTGGGAGCCATGAGACTTCAAAGAACCCATCCAGCCCAGGTTCCTGCTCTATAAATGGAGAAAGCCATGGCAAAGTCCACCTCCTTTTCATCCGTAAAAGGGAATATAATACTTTATAAGGTCCTTGTAAAGGTCAAGTGGGGTATAAAATGCTGTGAGGGGAGACACGTGGAAGTGCAGTAGTATCTTCTAGGTCGTTCAAGCCCACTCAGCTATCCAGAAGCTCCTCCTGTGTAAGTCTCATTATACCACCATCATCACTCACCAGACCTGGAGAGCTGAGCCTACCTGCTCACCAGAAAGCAGGCAAACCTTTCCGCAGCCTGTGGGTCAGACCAGCACCCCCAGTCCACAGCCTCCATATTCTCTCACCACCAGGGGACTTACCCACTGCTATAGCTAACCAAGTTACAGCTGTACCTGAAGCAGCATTAAACAGGCAAGAAATGTGCCTATGTCATCCCCTAAGATAACTTAGTTGCTTTAACATTAATTAATTCAGCTCTCTACTCTGTAAGAATCTCTTTTATATACATGAGATGGCATTTGTAGATTTCCATTAACTTTAATAAAAGGTTATACACCAGTCGGGACCACCTCAGGAGAGATGTGTTAACTCTACTTACATGGATGTTACCAATGCAATAAAAGTTGTGAGGGGATGTGAAAGAACTAATAAACGTTATTAGTGGAAATTTTAAGGGGACTTTGCAGGAAAAGGGAAAGCTAGACAGCAGCTTATACATAGAAAAGGTGCCAGGAAATCCCCACTTCTGAAATACCCTTTCTAGAGTCTTCCGTTAGGTCCGGTGTCTCCAGAAGAATAATGTCAAGTCACTTAAGCGCACCCTCAAACAAGCAGGACTTCCTCATTTCTAAGAAAAAGAGTGTAACCAATCATTCTGCCATTCAAGTACGGAACCTTGAGTCATCTTATGTCTTTTTATAACACAATCTTAATATTGTGACCTTTTCTTGGTAGTATCTTCTGATTCTTTGCTTTCTAAACAATTAGTACCAACACCTCTGTCTGCCTGAAGAATCACAGTAGCTTCTAACCTGGTGTCTCCTCTTAATCCACCATAAACACCTCCTGAATGATTCATCTTCCAAAAGTAGATTTCATCAAGTCACACCTGGGCACAGTGCTCCTCGCTGCCAAGGGCTGAAATCAATATTCCCAAACCAGGACTCGAAGTCCCACATTTACTACTGCTCACGTCCCCGCCCCCTGATGGAAACTCGCCTCCCTGTGCTCGCTCCTCCGCGGGCCTTCACCAGGCTCCGTAAAGGCTATTGGAGTCGGCGGAGCGGAGGGAGCGAGCTTCAGACAGGAGAGGCTCCTGACACGGACAATGGAGGAATCGGAATTACCAGTAATGACAGGTTCTAGGCTATATCCCTGGGGTGTACATGGAGAACAAGAGCATTCATGACAGGAGAGGGCAGCAAGGTCTGAGAAATCGGGACATTAAAAACAACATTTAAATATTACAGTCACTAAGAATTATGACAGCAGAAACAGTGAAAATGAGCCAGGCAGTAAAAGGATCGAGGAAAACTGGGGCGGTGTTCACTGCAGCATTATGTACAATAGCCAAGACATGGAAGCAAGCTAAGTGTCCACTGAGAGGTGAATAGACAAAAAACTTGTGGTGTATATACATATGTATGTATGTGTACACACACACACACACACACACACACACACACACACACACTGGAATATTATTCAGCCATAAAAAATGAAGAAATCCTGGAGACTTGAAATATTGGTAAAGTCTATCCCCTACACTGTATACCCAAAACTAATGCAAAATAATACTGAATGTAAACTGTAACTGAAAAATAAAATTTTAAAAGAGAATATCCTACCAGTTGCGACAACATGGGTGGGCCATGATGGTATATGTTAAGTGAAATAAGTCAGAAAGAGAAAGACAAATGCTGTCCCGTGTAATTTCACTGATACGGAGAATATAAAAAAAGGACAAGCCACCACACTCAGAGGAGGAAGAGGTGAGAGGCGACAGGGAGAGGGGGAGGACTGGAGGAAGTGGGACAAAGGTGCTGACCTCCAGCACAAGGTCACGGGTACTGGGAACGCGATGTCCAACCTGACGGCAACACTTAACACCGCTGAAGGGTATTTGGGACAGTTGAAGGGTATTTAGGAGTGCTCAACTCAAGAATAAAACGTTTTATCCTTTTTCTTTTCTTCTTCCTTTTTTCCTTAGTGTCTCTGTGAGAAGACAGGGGTTAGCTGCACCTGTGGCGGTCATTTCACAACCTGTGCACGTCACACCATCGTGCTGCGCACCTGAAACTCATCCAGGGGGACACGTAAATGATTTCTCAGCGACGCTGCAACAAACAGCACTGGGGGGGACTCACACACACACACACACAGACACACACACACACACACACACAGATGACTGCGATGAGGAAGGAACTTTAGAGACAAGGGAGCGAGAGTAATCTGGAAGCACCACGGAGAAGCGTGGGGGAACCTGTAGCGTATCTCCAGTTCCAGTCTACAGGGACGGAGAACGGCCACTCCTGGGTGGGCTGCAGGAGGAAGCAGAGACTCTCCCTTACAGAGCACCGCCCCTATCGGTGGAGCCCAGACATCTGAGTCTGCTGTTGCCAGGGCATCCTCTGCCAGGACATTATGCAATGGTACGGCTCTCCTCACCTCGGTCACATCCTCGCCTTGCCCAGAGGCGATGTGGGAGCTAAAAGAGGCACTGTGTACCAGAAAGGGAGGAAAACTCTGCTCGTGTGTGGTAACAAACTGTCTTACTTCTCACAAGCCGATAATTTGTATAAGTCTCTTTAAAAAGTTGGAAATCTGCCATGTTAAACAAACCAAGTTATGTAATACTTACCAAAGACTATAAGGTTAAATTTCATGACCTTCGAAGAGGGGTGTATTTCAATTTCATATTCACCTTCATCCGATGATGTTAAATTTGAGATGTGGAGGGCACCTGAGGGGTCTAAAGCGACCCTATCACGAAAAAGTGGGTAGGGGGTTAAGCCATCAGAATCCCATTCGATAACTTTGTTCTTTCCTTTTTTCCACAGTATCTCTTTAGCGGGTTGGATGTTTGGTGGAGACAAAGTGACGTTCCCGTTCACAGTTCCCACAACTGAAAACACCGATGAGCTCTTACAGAAATCTAGAAGAACAAGATAATTGGTTAGAAAACACAGCATCACTTGGTTGAAAGTAGAAAACCAGCTTCCAAGATACTCTTTGGGGGAAGGCGTTAAATGGAGTGGCAAAAATGATCCATCAGCTGCTTTGTGTGCTGAGCTGATCAACTGCTGACAACAAGTACAGGAAGTGACAGGTGCCTGACCGGGTAGAATTTCCTCTTTAATTGGGGCCGACACAAACCTGGGAGGTGGAGCCAACATTTATGGAGCACAAACTGCATGCCAGATACTGTGGGCAATGCTGGGAATATGGCGGCAAAGAAGACAAGTATCACACCAGGCCCTCAAGGAGCCTCACCCTGTGGAGAAGACACTGGGAAGGCAAAGACAACCACCTAGGTTGCAATGCTAGGTAAGGGCCTCCACCCAGGAAGTCACCCTGAAAGTGACACAGGGTGACACATCACTGAAGGGTGAGAGGACTTAGCCAGCTGAGGGCTGGATAAGAGAGGGAGGAGAGGAGAGATACAGGCAGAGGAAGCAGCATTCCAAAGGCATGTCCTGATCAAGGACTTTAGTCTGTTGGAGTAAAGAAAAGCAATTGCAATGGCTGAAATGAAGAGACCAATGGGGGGGGGGTGATGAGTAGGGAGGAGGCTGCAGAGGCAGGCAGTGGCAGGTCAGAGCTGGTATGGGAGCAGGGGCTGGAGGGTGTCGGGTAAGATATGCTAAGGGTTTGGAACTTACACTCATTAGGCCAGTGGCAAGGGGCAGCTACAGAGAGGTTGTAAACAAAAGGCAAGCATGATGTAATTTTTGTTTCCGCAGGCTGTCTGTCGAGTGAACAGTACTTGGCAGGCACAAGCACAGAAGTGGAAAGAGCAAAACAGGCAGTGCAGTAGCAAGGAGAGTGGCACATGGGGCGGACCAGACTCAGGACCCACGTGACAGAGAAATCACAGGGGTCCACTGACTCCTGGCTGTGGGGGACGAGGGGAGGGAAGAGTTAATGGTGACTGTCAGGCAAGCCTCTTTCTTGGCTGACAAGGGAGCTATTGAGGAAGCAAGTCAGGTTATGGTGAAGATGAAGGATGTGGGGACTACAGTGGCATTCGAGAGCCGATGCAGACCTGCTGTCACAGCCACGGTTAGCATCTCTGACGGACTCCACTCAAGTCAGACTAGTGGGAGCACCGTCTACAATGGCTGACGAAGGGAGGGTCCAAGATGGTGGCACAGGAAGTGGAAGCCACACTAACCTCCTCCCAGGAACAACTGGAGTTATAACCAAATTAGACAAAAATCATCCTGTATGACCAACTGAAGGCTAGTTGGAGAGAAGCCTTATAACCAAGGACTAACAGAAGAAACCATACCACCATTGAGACTGATAGGAAGTGTGGTGGCATGCGCGGGTCGGCTGGGCTCCCATGGGCAGCAGCTGAAATCCGAGAGGGACATTTCAGCAGCCAGGGGGGTTGCAAACCAGGCTCCCAAGCTTAGAGCACCAGAACCAGAAAAACTGCCCATGTAGCATCACAGTATGAAAAGCAGCGAGATTTCTGTCTGCCAGAGGAAGACAACTAGAGATGCAGACACCATTTTAAAAAACCAACACACAAGCCCTGGCTGGTGTAGCTCAGTGGATTGAGCATGGGCCTGTGAACCAAAGTATCACGGTTCAATTCCCAGTCAGGGCACATGCCTGGGTTGCAGGCCAGTTCCCGGCAGGGGACGCACGAGAGGCAAACATACATTGATATTTCTCTCCTTCCCTTCCCCTCTAAAGATAAATAAATAAAATCTTAAAAAAAAAACCCCAACACACAAGGTTTTGTTTGCAGCCATTTATTCTGGGCTCTGGCAGAGGGAAAGCAGAGTGGACTAATGCCACCTGAGGTGAGTCTGGGGTTGGTGGCTCTGGGGAGAGAGCTGAAGCACCAGCTGCTAGGATAGCTGCAGTCACCGTTCCCCATACTGTAGAAGACATCTTTCTCAGCCAGAGAACTCTCCTCCATGTGGCACAGCCAAGGGGGAAGCAGTAGCCCCACCTGCACGAAATCCTCTCACCCTGCCACGTGGAGCTCAACCCCTGCTAAAGAGTTCAGGTGGACGTTGTTTCAGTGATTAAGGCTAACAGGCAGCCAACAGGTGAGGGCAGGTCTCTGGGTGTTTTGAGACTTTAGCTGATGCACCACAGGGCTTGGTGCTGGTAAAAGCCAGCCTTGGTCCACAGATTGGTCCTTTCCAAATGTGCCCATGACCAGCAGAAGGAACCACAAGCTGTGGATCACTGATGGCTCCAATGAGGTTGCCCAGGGCCAGTAACAGGCAGTGTCTAAGGACAGAGTCTTTGCATATCTACCTAATACATAAAAACAAACGAAAAGAGGAAGCCAAAGTCGGAAGATGAAGAAAGAAGACCGAGATGAATAAAGAGAAGTCTAGAGAAGAAGAAGTAAATGAAATGGAGACAAGGAATTCATCAGATAAAGAGTCCAAAGTAGTAAGTATAAGAATGCTCAACAACATAAAAAAAGGCATAGAAGCCATAAAAAGGACCAGTCAGATAAAGAATGCAACACCTAAAATAAATAATACACAGGAAGAAATGAAAAAGGAGATTAGATAAAACGGAGGATCAAGCCAGTGATTTGGAAGATATGATGGAAAAAAATAATCAGAACTTCTGGTAAAGATGGCAGCATAGGTAAACATGGTTCACCTCCTCACACAACCACATCAAAATTAAAAGTAAACTATAGAATAACCATCACTCAGAACCATCAGAAATCAAACTGAATGGAAGTCCAACAATTATAAAATTAAAGAAACCATATCCATCCAGACAGGTAGGAGGGTAGAGACATGGATCAGGCTGGTCCCACACCCATAGGATAAATATTCAGGAGGGATATTGCAGGAGCAAGGAGTCCAGCCCCATACCAGAACCATCCCCCCACAGCTGATCCTCCACAGAGGGCTGAGGTTGGTGGTCAGTGGTCACAGCCAGTCCTTTCAGCTGACTGGCCTAGGTAAATACCTCCTATTGACCTGCCTACAGCAAGCAAGGCTCAAATACAAGAGGACAGGTGTACTCGGCCCACACAAAGGGTGCACCTCATGTACCAAGCTTGGGTAATACAGGAGGCTGTGCCATTGGAATCTACAGAACACCTACTACATTAAGCCATGCTACAAAGACAAAGAGTCATAGCAGCTCTACCTAATACATAGAAACAAACACAGGGAGGCTGCCAAAGAGAAGAGACAAAGAAACATGGCCCAATGAAAGCACAGATCAAAACTCCAGAAAAAGAACTAAACAAAAGGAGATAAGCAATCTATCAGATTCAGAGTTCAAAACACTGATTATTAGGAGGTTCAAGAAATTTAGTGAAAATCTCAACAGCATAAAAAAAGATCCAGTCAGAAACAAAGGATACACTAATTGAAATAAAAAACAACTTACAAGGAAACAACAGGAGAGTTGATGAAACCAAGAATCAAATCAATGATTTGAACCATAAGGAAGCAAAAAACAACCAATCAGAACAAGAAGAAGAAAAAGGAAGTCAATAAAAATGAGGATAGTGTAAGACACCTCTGGGACAACTTCAAAAAATCCAATATTTGCATCATAGGGGTGCCAGAAGGAGAAGAGAAAGAGCATGAAATTGGAAATTTATTTGAAAAAATAATGTAAGAAAACTCCGAAATTAGTGAAGGAAATAGACATGCAGGTCCAGTAAGCACAGAGACTCCCAAACAAGATGGATGCAAAGAGGCCCACTCCAAGACACATCAGAATTAAAATGCCAAAAGTTAAAGAGAGAATCTTAAAAGCAATAAGAAAAAAGCAGTTGGTTACCTACAGGTGAGTTTTCATAAGACTGTCAGCTATTTGAGCAGGATTTCTCAAAAGAAACTTTGCAGGCTAGAAAGGGCTGGCAAGAAACATCCAGTCTTGAAAAGCAGGGAGATACAGCCATGATTGCTCCACCTGGTAAAGATGTCATTTAGAATCGAAGGGCAGATAAACAGCTTCCCAGACAAGAAAAAAACTAAAGGAGTTCATCATTACCATATCATTATTATATGAAATGTTGAAGAGACTTGAGAAAAGATCAAAACTATGAATAATAAAATGCCAATAAACACATACCTATCAACAATAGAATCTAAACAACAAACTAAGCAAATAAGAACAGAATCATGGATACAGAAAGCATTTTGATGGCTGCCATATAGGAGGAGTGTGGGGGAATGGGAGAGGAGGAGAGGGGATTAAGTAGTACAAATAAGTAGTTACAGAATAGCCATGGTGACGTATAGTTCAGTATAGGAAATGGAGTAGCCAAAGAGCTTATATGCTATGACTAATGGTGTGGGGGTTGACTGAGGGAGTGGAAGGTGCTGGATGGAGATGAACAAAGTGGGGAAAATTGGGACAGCTTTAACAGCATAATCAATAAAATATAAAATTAAAAAAATCATCCAAGAAAATCCCACTCAATCAGCGCAGGGAGAAGAAATTTCAAAAATGAGGATAGTTTAAGGGACCTTTGGGAGAACATGAAGTGTAACAATATCCACATCACAGGAATACCAGCAAGAGAACACAGAGAGCAAGGATTTCAGAACCTATTTGAAGAAATAATGACAGAAACCTTCCATATCCTGGTGAAAGGAAATGACACAAAAGCCCAGAAAGTGTGGAGAGCCCCAAACAAAATAGACCTAAAGAAGCCCTCATCAAGACACATCATATTTTAAAATGGCAAACCTTAACAACAAGGAAAGAATCTTAAAAGATGCAAGAGGAAAGCAGATAGTTACCTACTAGTGCCCTCCCATAAGAGTGTCATCTGATTTCTCAACAGAAACATTTCAGGCCAGAGAAGATTGGCATGAAATATTCAAAGTGATGAAAATCAAGAACCTACAACCAAGGCTACTTTACCTAGCAAGGTTATCACATAAAATTGAAGAAATAAAGAACTTCCCCAGACAAGAAGAC